TCCTGGGAAAAGTACTCCGGTGTGAAAGCGCCTATAGTTTTCATTCTGCTGATGTTCAGGTGTATATCAGTATGTAGTGTCTCTACTTTAAAGAGTCCTCTCCTGCTGATGTTCAGGTGTATATCAGTATGTAGTGTCTCTACTTTAAAGAGTCCTCTCCTGCTGATGTTCAGGTGTATGTCAGTATGTAGTGTCTCTACTTTAAAGAGTCCTCTCCTGCTGATGTTCAGGTGTATATCAGTATGTAGTGTCTCTACTTTAAAGAGTCCTCTCCTGCTGATGTTCAGGTGTATATCAGTATGTAGTGTCTCTACTTTAAAGAGTCCTCTCCTGCTGATGTTCAGGTGTATGTCAGTATGTAGTGTCTCTACTTTAAAGAGTCCTCTCCTGCTGATGTTCAGGTGTATATCAGTATGTAGTGTCTCTACTTTAAAGAGTCCTCTCCTGCTGATGTTCAGGTGTATATCAGTATGTAGTGTCTCTACTTTAAAGAGTCCTCTCCTGCTGATGTTCAGGTGTATGTCAGTATGTAGTGTCTCTACTTTAAAGAGTCCTCTCCTGCTGATGTTCAGGTGTATATCAGTATGTAGTGTCTCTACTTTAAAGAGTCCTATCCTGCTGATGTTCAGGTGTATATCAGTATGTAGTGTCTCTACTTTAAAGAGTCCTCTCCTGCTGATGTTCAGGTGTATATCAGTATGTAGTGTCTCTACTTTAAAGAGTCCTCTCCTGCTGATGTTCAGGTGTATACCAGTATGTAGTGTCTCTACTTTAAAGAGTCCTCTCCTGCTGATGTTCAGGTGTATATCAGTATGTAATGTCTCTACTTTAAAGAGTCCTCTCCTGCTGATGTTCAGGTGTATACCAGTATGTAGTGTCTCTACTTTAAAGAGTCCTCTCCTGCTGATGTTCAGGTGCATATCAGTATGTAGTGTCTCTACTTTAAAGAGTCCTCTCCTGCTGATGTTCAGGTGTATATCAGTATGTAATCTCTCTACTTTAAAGAGTCCTCTCCTGCTGATGTTCAGGTGTATACCAGTATGTAGTGTCTCTACTTTAAAGAGTCCTCTCCTGCTGATGTTCAGGTGCATATCAGTATGTAGTGTCTCTACTTTAAAGAGTCCTCTCCTGCTGATGTTCAGGTGTATACCAGTATGTAGTGTCTCTACTTTAAAGAGTCCTCTCCTGCTGATGTTCAGGTGTATATCAGTATGTAATGTCTCTACTTTAAAGAGTCCTCTCCTGCTGATGTTCAGGTGTATACCAGTATGTAGTGTCTCTACTTTAAAGAGTCCTCTCCTGCTGATGTTCAGGTGCATATCAGTATGTAGTGTCTCTACTTTAAAGAGTCCTCTCCTGCTGATGTTCAGGTGTATATCAGTATGTAATCTCTCTACTTTAAAGAGTCCTCTCCTGCTGATGTTCAGGTGTATACCAGTATGTAGTGTCTCTACTTTAAAGAGTCCTCTCCTGCTGATGTTCAGGTGCATATCAGTATGTAGTGTCTCTACTTTAAAGAGTCCTCTCCTGCTGATGTTCAGGTGTATATCAGTATGTAGTGTCTCTACTTTAAAGAGTCCTCTGATACTGATTTGTACGAACATAATATTTAATTAGATATGAACCCTTGGAAGAACTGAGACAGTGTCTGTTGGTAATGAATTCCCTCTGGTTAATTGCCGATGCAGCATAAAGCCTGCAGGTCACATGCAAAAAAAAAGGTGAGAATATGAAGAACAAACCTTGTCATTAAATATTTACTGTAGTTTAAACGGCTAGATTTTCCAGTAATTAATAGTTAAGCAGTTATTCTTAATGTCAACTAATCTTGAAATCAAAACCTGCTTAAAACACAAAGTAAAATCATTTCGGAAGAGGATAATCTCTCCTCGCAGTAGTTACACATTTGGGGCTATTTTAAGGGAATTATTAGTAATATGTAAAAGAGGCCGGAATAGGTAGACATGTCAGTATCTGCGTGGTCTCGATTCTTCCTGCACTAAGTTCATGTTTTATGGCTCTTTTTATGGAAATGATTCAGGAGATTACAGCACCTGTCGGACAATATGTACCCACTGCATCATAAGAGGCAGATATAGATAGAAATATCAGGTGATAAATGTAAAATAACCACTTAATAAACTCAGAAATTCCGTGCAAATATCAGCATATCCACCCGCATAAACACACACTACACACTCATGTTTCCATGGAAAACATGTTGTTCCTGCAACTGCAAAAAGACAATTATGCTTTCTAACCAATCAGAGGCTTAGCTCCGGCTGCTAGCCAATCAGAATGGAGCCCCATGGCCTGTGATGCAGCAGCTTTAGGAAGGGCAGTGCATGTGAACTGGAGAGGAGCCAGAGCAGAGTCAGAGAGAGAAAGGTAAACAAGTTCCTGTCTGTCTCTCTGTCTCTCTCTCTCTCTGTCTGTCTCTCTCTCTCTCTCTCTGTCTCTCTCTCTCTCTCTCTGTCTCTCTCTCTGCCTCTGCCTCTGTGACACTCTGCGGATCGCTTCCTCTCAAACAAACCGTGAGATAAACAAGATACAGAGATATATAAGATACAGAGACAAAGACCAGGCCGGAGAAACGCACACTGCGTCACCTCCTCTGACTACGCAGAATCAAACCTGGGGAAGGGTTTCAGCCCTGGAGGGTGACGACAAGTCACATGACACAGAAGCAACAAAAAAACACACACACACACACACACACACACACACACACACACACACACACACACACACACACACACACACACACACACACACACACACACACACACACACACACACACACACACACACACACACACACACACACACACACACACACGCGTCAAGACGTCAGACAAACTTCTCCTGCCGAACAAATGTGTCTCTATTAGCTCCATGCATCACCTCCGTATTCCTGTACGTGATGGTGGTGAGAAGAAAGTCGATATTTGTCGGTTAAAAAAAGCCCTCGAGCTTCGCCGTGATATTCACAACACTCCAGAATATTCTCAGGTTAACCCGTTTGACGCACCTCTGCACACCAGCAAGAACTAGAGGCACACACAGCTTCAGCATCCATGTTGGAACTCCGATAACAGCACACACACACACACTGACACACACACACACATACTGACACACACACACACACACATACATACATACTGACACACACACACATACTGATACACACACACACACACACACACACACACACACACACACACACACACACACACACACACACACACACACACACACACACACACACACACACACACACACACACACACACACACACACACACACACACACACACACACACACACACACACACAGGCAGAGAGGATCAAAACTACCAAGGAGGAAGAGGAGGAGGAGAAGCCGAGGTTGTCTCCGGAAACCCATTGCGTGTCCGATCTTCAGGAGGAAACTCGATGGAATTCTCAGCTTCTGTTTCTCCTGACATGAAAAAGTGACGAAGCAACTAATCCGAAATCTCTCCCTCCCTCTCCCTCTCCCCTCTCTCCCCTCTCCCTCCCCCCCTCCTCCCTCCCTCCCTCTCTCTCTCTCCACTCGCCTCTAAAAACACACGCACTCCTTATTTTCATCTTGTTGCACCAGCAGAACTGCTATTAGACACAGAGATCCCTCACACATGCACGTGCACGCTGCTCTCCGACTGTGTGTGTGTGTGTGTGTGTGTGTGTGTGTGTGTGTGTGTGTGTGTGTGTGTGTGTGTGTGTGTGACGCAGCATTTAATTCTCTCTGATTTGACACCGCCTGCACACAAAAAAAAAGCAACTTCTGGATCCAGCAAACACACACAGGGACCCTGACTCCCCCCCCCCTCACCCACGGCTGTCACACACACCCTCTACCGTGTCTTGGTTTCGCCCCGTCTCCCTCACACACTCGGTGTGTGTGTGGCCTCCTCTCGGCTGGAGTAGACGCTGCTGTCTGAGCTGCTCCTGGATCAGCTGACCGATGCGTTTAAAGGAACATCATCTCTGTTGCATCAGCTCCAACACCCCGGATTTGAAACACAGGAAGATGAGAAGGGAGGAGGAGGCAATCGATTCAGAAGAATGGAGAATTTTCTCTTTTGAATCGATTCACAACTTGCTAAATGTATTTCTAAAAGGCTTTTTGGTTCGAATTTGAGCTAACTATTTTTTTATTTTTTGAAATATATATATATTTTTTTAATGCACATTCTTACTTTAGCTTCATTAGATTATATAAATACTTTAATTTAATTTTTTTATTTGTATTACATTTTCTTACTTTACATTGCTATTTATATATATATTTTTTTATTTTAGATAGATTCTCCCTCTTTCAGTTCCTGGTGCCGCCTACCTCAACTACTCAAAATAATACTTTCATCCAGCTAAACTATTCATAAACAACGTGAGAAACCGTAAACACATTGAGTGTAATAAATGATGCAGCGGCTCCTTTAAAGGCCTGAGTTCCTGTTTTATAAATAGTCTGTTTAGTTTCAGACGGACATTAGCAGAAGTTATTTTAAGGACTGGAGTGTTTGCAGTTTTATCTGATTGTTCACGTACCTCCTTCAGAGGGTCTTCATCAGTAATGTAAATCACACCGAGGGACATCACATGAAGGAGAAAGGAAAAACACTAATAATAACAAACAATCGTGGACAAGGTTTTTATAGCTTTTTTTGCTACAGTGGAGTTATTGTTATTTTACGGACATATTGCAGAGTTTAGTTTTGATGCTGACGCACTCTGTCTTTAAAGTCCGTCCTCTCAGCTATTTCCGCTCCTCTTGCACCGTGTGTTAATTTTGGCCGAGTCATCTATCAGCTGCTCCACTTCCTGAACCCTAATCCCTCCTGGAAAGGTGCCCGGCCGGCTCCAGTCATATTGTTACATTACATTACATTACATTACATGTCACTTGTTAGACGCTTTTATCCAAAGCGACTTACATACATTCAATACTCTGGGCAATCCCCACAGGAGCAATTTGGGGTGAAGTGTCTTGTCCAAGGACACAGCGGAATGTTGACTGCAGTGGGATTCGACCCAGTGCCCCTGTGATCCGAAGATCAGCGCACTAACCACTGACCCACAACCTCCTTTGTTTAGGGATGGATTAGGAAACAGAGCTTCTAAATGCACCTACATTTACATTAATGCTAAAATATGTTTTAGGTGTCAGTGTTTTATTGGATGTGTTTCTGTAGTTACCTGTGTGCAGTGAATATGAATGGCTCTCTCTGAGGATGCAAGTGTCCCAGCTTCATTCCCTGTAGGATTAAAAAGAAAGAAGATTTTTAATGTGAGATTTTATTTTGAGACATGATATTACACTGGGAATTTCCCTTAGCTCAGCACTCACAGTGTTTGACAAAGTCAGAGAAAAGTGACCTTTATTCAGATATAATCACACAATGCTGCTTATCATTTTTGTTTTATGTATACGACTTCATTTATTAAATTATTAATTAACACACATAACACTTATTTTCATTATGGATTAATCTGCAGATTATTTTGGACATTAATGGTTTGGTGTATAAAAAGTCGGACAATAGTGAAAATGTCCAAGGTGATGTCTTCAAATGTCCAAAGATATTCACTTGAATGTGAGGGACAGGAAACTGTGTTTTATGCAGGAAACATTTATTCATAACCAAAATCTATTAGCTAACTATTTGATTTTAGTGAAGTGAAATGGCACATACAGTAAGAAAACTATGTACGTTTAATGATGAGAATCACAGTTGAAAAAAACAGAAACATAATAATATTTTAACCTACAAAAAACCCCAAATAAAAATATATAAAATGGGGGTGGGGTCGAGAAAAGTTATGAAAAGGTTGCTAATGGTTGCAGCTCTTAATAAAATAAGACAAAGTCAAATGTGAGACAACCTCAGGTAAGGCAAAAGATCAAATAAAGATACAAATAAATAATAAAATAAAAAATAAAAAGGGAGTGGGAGTAAAGTGAGAGACAAACTCTGTGTAATAAAGAAAAAACAAGAAAATTAATTAATTTGAAATGAATTGTAAAGAAAAGGTCGGGTGGAGTAACATATGAGACACTTTTAAAAATTAAAAAAGGGATGAAGAGAGAGACAAACTCATTTAAATAAAGGACAACACAAATATTAATAAATAAATAAATAAGGGGGGTTATGTATTCCAACACATGCAATTCCTTACAGGCCATACAGCCTTTTTTCTTACTCACCCTCTGAAGCAGTCAGATAAACGAACAGACTGACGCCATTTTTGTTTGTATTCCAGATGCATGTACTCTTCCTCCTGTGAAGAAAGCCACAAAATAAATAAAAACAAACACACACTTTGTCTCCTGTAGACGTGAGAAAGCTCTGTAGTGTTGCCTGAATATATTCCATTATCTGACTTATTCATGATAACTGCAGGATGAAACCTGCACAAGCCCGCCCCCCTGTGTTCAGAAAGGGTACTGCAGCGCCCCTGTGTTCAGAGAGGGTTCAGAGAGAGTACTGCAGCCCCTGTGTTCAGAGAGGGTACTACAGCGCCCCTGTGTTCAGAGAGGGAACTGCAGCCCCCCTTTGGTCAGAGAGAGTACTGCAGCCCCCTGTGTTCAGAGAGGGTACTACAGCGCCCCTGTGTTCAGAGAGGGAACTGCAGCCCCCCTTTGGTCAGAGAGAGTACTGCAGCCCCCTGTGTTCAGAGAGGGTACTACAGCGCCCCTGTGTTCAGAGAGGGAACTGCAGCCCCCCTGTGTTCAGAGAGGGAACTGCAGCCCCCCTTTGGTCAGAGAGAGTACTGCAGCCCCCTGTGTTCAGACAGAGTACTGCAGCCCCCTGTGTTCAGAGAGGGAACTGCAGCCCCCCTTTGGTCAGAGAGAGTACTGCAGCCCCCTGTGTTCAGAGAGAGTACTGCAGCCCCCCTTTGGTCAGAGAGAGTACTGCAGCCTCCTGTGTTCAGAGAGGGTACTGCAGCCCCCTGTGCTCAGAGAGGGAACTGCAGCAACCCCCTGTGTTCAGAGACAGTACTGCAGCTGAAGGGTTTGTTTACATCAGAAATAAAAAGTGCGTATGATAGAAACCTCTGGATGGAAGCAGCTGAGGCAGAAACCTGTCAGCAGGTGTACGCACAACTAAATAAATATCATTACAAACATGATATTATACTTTTTAAACAAAAACTCACACAAATAAACACATTTCTGCCTCTGAAAAAGGGGAAAACATCCATTTACCTTCAGGAACATATGCAGCAAAATGGTGAATAGTGCATAACATATCTTTACATATCTTATTATTTAAATACAGTATGCTGAGGAGGAAATGGGACAACATGACACAGCATGACACACAACAAGTACAAGGTGTTCCCCTATGGCATCTAAGATATTTAAAATAAAGACAAAGCATAAATGTAAACCAAGGCTGAATTTAAGGCTGTATGTCTACCTAATATTATATATTGATCATGTAATCCTGTTAGTAATCCCAATTTCTGGTGACTGTGGCTGGAAGGTAGAAAAAGCAGCAACAAGACACTCAGTTTAAAATAATATCTCTCAGTGCAACTTTGACATTAAGGGATAAAATACTTATAATAATAATAATACAAACTGACTTTAGCCATACACAATAACAACACGCAGCACATGCATTAAATCAACATGCAGCAGCACATGGATGCAAAGACTACTCACTGCTGAGGAAAAGTGAAGTGCGCAACATCCTCCTGCAGAACACACGCACACACACACACGCACACACACACACACACACACACACACACTCGTCCTCTCCCTCCTCCTGTTCGGCTGCTCTGCCCTCTCTCTGACTCCAGCACAATGATCCATACACCCCCCCCCCCCCCCCCCCCCCCCCCTCCCCTGATTTATCAGGAAACAGCTGAGAGAGGTTGCTTATTTCCGGGTAACGTTGGAAACAACGCTGGAAACTGCGCAGTACATCGCAATAACCAAATCACGCTCATGCGTAATCCTCAGTGGCCTTTAGAGAAGAAGAGTCCAGCTCGAACAGCAGTTGGAAAATATTAATAATACAAATGAATCAGCGCACTTTGCTACTTCCTATAATATAATATCCATTAAAAGGTGGTGTATATTTGAGAGCATGCATGTAAATAAACTCCTCTTCTTTTACCGACAGGCTCCCGGTTTCTGTCTCGGCTCCATCACCGTTTCTTCTCCGTTAATGTCATAATTATTAAGATTACATCCACGGTTTTAATTCGCTTTATGGGAATATAAAAAAGCCAAAACACGACCATCGACATTTTCACAGCAACACAAACAAGCCCCTCCCACTGGCACACACACCCCCGCTTCCTGATTGGACGACGCTCGGAAAGGCGTCAGTAGGGTCACGTGGTTTTGACAGGGTTACAAACATGCGCAGAGAGGAAGGCGGGACAAGAGGATGCCCTGCTCTCTACTTCCGGTTTAGGGGAGCACAACAAAAGGGTTATACAATTAAAGAGATTTGATAAATTAGATTGTTGCGTAATATTTACTGCTGGCTTTAAAATAGATATTAAAAAAATAATAAAATAATAAAATAAAACCTTCAAAAATAAAACACATGTATTTATTGTTGTTTATATTTTCTATGTGTTTTTTCTTTTTTGTTATTATATTATATATACCTGTTTTCTTTTGATTAATCTTAGTTTTCTTAACTTTGTATATTATTATTGTTATTATTATTTATTGCTTCTGTGTGTCTGTCATGTGTCTAAGCTGTATGACATTGATTTGACTAAAATCAGATCATGAGAATAATAATATCAATATTAGGTCAAATATTATTCGTATTACTTTTCCAATAACATTGCCATTATTTTCTATATGATGTGTAATATTTTTCTATATCAGTTTTCTTATGATATCTAATCCTACCAAGTACATTAAATCAAGTACTTTAGGCTACTTTATACTTTTTACTACACTATATTTATTTCACAGATTTAGTAGCTTCTTTGCAGATTTCGAGTATATACAGTAATTAAAATAAACTTTACTTTTACCAAATGATGAACACATTAATGCATCAAGAATTATAACACAATCATTTAAAATGTATGTTGCTTAAATGGGCGATCTGTTTAATGAGTACTTTCACTTTTCAGTACCTAAAGTTTATTTTGATGCTAATTCTTTGGTACATGTTGAATGCTGGACTTTTGTAACTGAGTATGTTTACCCTAAAGCCACAGCAGGGGGCATCCTAACCCAACAATAACATCAGACGTCCCTCTTTCTAAAGTCGGATATATCAGAGTTTGCTAGATCACATCCATTACATTACATGTTGCTTGTTAGACGCTTTTATCCAACGCGACTTACATACTCAATACTGTGGACAATCCCCACAGGAGCAATTTGGGGTGAAGTGTCTCAGGGACACAACGACATGCTGACTGCAGTGGGGTTTGAACCTGTGCCCCCCTGATCCGAACACCAACGCACGAGCCCACTGCGCCACACGCCTCCATAATACTAGGTTTTGTGTCCGTTTAAAACACATTTCAATTTATAGAGTGAATTTTCTTGCAGATGCCACAGACTCATTTATTTGCAGAGGTGCAAGAAGTACTATAATTTATAGAAGCAAAAGTAGTAAAAGTACAGTGTGACAAGTAAAGGTATTTAATTCATAATGAAGTAAGAGTAGGCTACCAAACAGCATTTGCAGATTTTGCAGAATGTGTTTTACATCTTAAACCCAAGTTGAATTGTTTTTGTTGATTATATTTTGTTTTAATAATCAGAATCTGAAAAGTAAGATAGATAAATAGACACTTTATTGATCCCAATTTGGGACATTCTTAGAAGCAGAAGTGTGTTAAGACATTTAAATACAATTCTTAAAATACTTTAAAAAGTGGAAAAGAGAGTTAACAATTAAAAATAAAATGAAAAATAATATATTAAACAAAACAATATAGAATATTCTGGATAATAAAACAAAAAGTCAAAAGTACTACGAGAAAACAAAAATAAAACTGTCAGTAAAATTAATAAGATAAGATATTTGCCTCTAAGATGCAGTGCACTAAAGGGAAATATTCACGTAAGTTATCTTAAATGTGTGCTTAAGTACAGTTTAGTTAAAGGTCCCCTATTATACTGTTTCTCATCAATATATCACAGGTCTCTGATATATACAGAGCTAGTCTCTGATTGGCTGAAACACCAAACAGATCATTGCAGCATTACCCATAATCCCCTCTGTTTCAGCCCTGTTTCCAAAGTGCTGATTCTCTGTCTGTTACTTTAGATGAAAATAAGGAGCCCCTCCCCACGCCCCTCTGAGAGAGATTTGGTTAAAAAGAACACAATGGTGCTCTAGGAGGAGATTCAGGTGATAAGGGGGGGGGTTACCTTGGTTGCTGATTGGCTAATGGTTACACAAGACAAAACATCGTTATGACATCATAAAGTGGCCAAAATCTGATCAGCTCATTTTCAGACAGGTTTTTATATAAATGGATCAGGACAAAAAGTGAGAGAATCTTTGTTCCTGAAACTTTCAGAGTCTCTTTACACAGAGGGGACACATGTTGATGTAGAAGAGACATGAAGAAGAGGGGACACATGTTGATGTAGAAGAGACATGAAGAAGAGGGGACACATGTTGATGTAGAAGAGACATGAAGAAGAGGGGACACATGTTGATGTAGAAGAGACATGAAGAAGAGGGGACACATGTTGATGTAGAAGAGACATGAAGAAGAGGGGACACATGTTGATGTAGAAGAGACATGAAGAAGAGGGGACACATGTTGATGTAGAAGAGACATGAAGAAGAGGGGACACATGTTGATGTAGAAGAGACATGAAGAAGAGGGGACACATGTTGATGTAGAAGAGACATGAAGAAGAGGGGACACATGTTGATGAAGAAGAGACATGAAGAAGAGGGGACACATGTTGATGTAGAAGAGACATGAGGAAGAGGGGACACATGTTGATGTAGAAGAGACATGAAGAAGGGGGGACACATGTTGATGTAGAAGAGACATGAAGAAGAGGGGACACATGTTGATGTAGAAGAGACATGGAGAAGAGGGGACACATGTTGATGTAGAAGAGACATGAAGAAGAGGGGACACATGTTGATGTAGAAGAGACATGAAGAAGAGGGGACACATGTTGATGTAGAAGAGACATGAGGAAGAGGGGACACATGTTGATGTAGAAGAGACATGAAGAAGGGGGGACACATGTTGATGTAGAAGAGACATGAAGAAGAGGGGACACATGTTGATGTAGAAGAGACATGGAGAAGAGGGGACACATGTTGATGTAGAAGAGACATGGAGAAGAGGGGACACATGTTGATGTAGAAGAGACATGAAGAAGTGGATTTTGCATAATAGGGGACCTTTAAATGATTACACAGCCCCGTGTTGTCCTCAGTTTACTGCAGGGTGTGATGAGTTGCATCATTGGAAAAAGAGACAATGCTTTCCAGATTGTTTCCCTGCACAGATGTTGGGAAGAGACAACGACAGCAAAGAGAAATGTGCAGGAAACCGACCGGATATCACTTCAACTTTCCGTAGTTTACTGCCATTTAGGAGTCCATGGAAACACAATATTACATCTGCAATTTCATCGTGCAACCATTGGTGGCTTTTATAATTCATCACAGCTTCTGCTAACAGTAATACAAAATGTCCACTGGCTGTCCTTTACACACAGCTGTCAGTCACTCCCTATCGTTACTCCCTTAATGTGGATCCCAGCTTTGAATAGCACATTTCCCATGATGCATGTTTGCGTACATTGCATTTCTCCCCGGTCGGTCGTCATGCATTTTTGGATATTTGAGAGAGTGGGTGCAAAAAGAATAATAACTCAAAACACTTCCATGCTGCCAAAAACACAGATCATTTCATCGAGTTCAAGCGGAGGACATTTCTGAAACTCGACTGTATTTGTTCGTTTATGAATCAGTGAGTGGACTTAGTGTTAAACACCTCACAGAGCCGTGTTATTGAAACCAGGTTAGATCAAAGGTTCCTCAGTCAGCATGTTTTCCATTTTTTCCCTCAGATCTCAGATATTTATCCTCATCTGACCCTCCTGCTTTGTTGAATGAAAGAACGTTCAATGAGATTAAATGTTCCTCTGCATTTGATTCTAACAAGTGTTTGGTTTGCTCTGCTCCACAGTAACAGTGTGTTTACAGATTTATGAATTAACTTCCTCTCCAAATCCGAGCATGCAGCCAATTCTCTTTTCCCTCTAACTGAGGATCCTGCAACCGTCCTGCACCGTTATATTATATTATATTATACTATAGTATATTATAGTTTGTTATATGATATGATATTATACTGAAAATGATTAGGGACACATTTTTGGGGGATCTTACCAAGAGTGATTTGGGGATTTCGATTTCTTAGATTTAAGTCAGCATTATTAAGAAACAAGTCAGGTTTTTGCAATTTTCTCAGAATTTTGTCATTTTTTCCTCAGAATATAAAAAATGTCTCAGAATTTGAATTTTTCCTGAGAATTCTTTTTTTTAATTCGGACTTTACATTTTTTTTTTCGTTTTAATTAATTAGGTTCATTATGAACAAATATAATTAGGAAAAAAGTCAAATATTTGCTTTTAATTTCTGTGTAAAAACAGGAAGGTTTATGCTGTAAACCTACTTATCATTTCAACAGGTTTCAAAGCTTCCAAAAATAATAATCCGGTTACATTACTTTTATTTGTTTTAAAGGTCTCCTATTATGCTATTTT